CGGCGTTACCACCAGCGCCTTTGTTTGGAGGCTTGGCATATTAACTCCGCCCACACACTCCTTTAAATCGTGACGATGGCGGTTTGCTCCCTGACGCCTATTTACACCTCGTCAGAAAAAAGGCTGCTAATTAGTGATCATACAAAAGCACCTCTTGTTGCAGCGTTTAGATCACTCCTGATGAAGGCACTAGACGGGAGTGTCGAAACGTTGGGTCTATGAATTGTAACTTCTTCGGTTACATTCATTAAATCTGTAAACCAGAGTAGCATCAAACCATGTCTGATTGTCCACCTGGCTGCCGTGTGAACTTTAATATATTTTAAATGGACGGTTAGTTTCCATTCTGTCTATTTTAAAGGAGGGTTCAATGAAACTCAAATCAATTATGACCAAGCCTGCATTTTAAGATGTAGGTAATTTTTTTAATTAAAATGCAGCTTCCTTAATTAGTTTAAATATGTGACTTTAATTTATCCTCGTTCACTAATTTCAGGATCATTCAAGGGTGACATTTGGTCTGTTGTCTTAATCAATACAGTATTTTGATATAAATTTTTGAAAAAATAAGAGGCTACGTGGATATTAAGACAATACAAGAGACGGGACATATCTTTGGAATATCGTTTCATCGAAATTTCACAATTAAGGGACTCTTGTGATCTCGATATTCACGGTTATCAATTTAGTAATAACGACAAAAGCCACAACAACGCATGGCAGAAGGACAGTTCAAATTACGTTATATGCCCCACGCCTCCTCAACTCAAGCAGGAATTCGTAAAAAGCATGAAACAAGAGGCGTGACGTTCGGATCTATAAATAAAAGGATTTCCTGTTTGTCCATATGAAACCCATTTAGCATGAAATCGCATGTGTAGTGAGAGTACAGACGGTCAGACATTAGAATGGCCTTGAAATTTGTTTTATGGATGCTAGTGATTTTAGCTTCGTTACATTCAATATCATCGCATGGTTCGGCGAGGCATTTAAAGGAAATTGTCCTCGGTAGATGCTGGGACTTTCAACGGCAAAAGACGTCCGAGGTCACCCCCAAGAACTGTTCGAAATTATGGGAAACATTTCACAATGCATTCGCCTTCAAGGACCCGTGTGCAACGAATTTCTCTGATTATGAACCTTTCTTTGATGAAGTTGGAATGGACATTGTTAAAAGGGATAAGGTAGGATGGATAAGAGACACGCTCCCAAACCGCAATTACGAAAATCTGACTGCTGACTTAATTTTATCACTAACTAACTTCATTCGATTCAGTTGGATGATTCGGACAAGTTGGCGCACAGTGTTACTGTTTACGTAAATTAATCAGGAACATTAACAACTTAAAACTTGAATTCTCACTAACAATCCGCCAGTATAGTGAATTTGTGTAAGAGAACAGGCAAAGATAGTTTCTATTCTCAAGTCGAAAACAGTGGGAGACCTTTTTCCTGGATCGAGGGAAAAAGCAACTCGTAACTACATTAGCAGCTTTTTTTTTTTAGTTACCATGTCTACCTATTTATCTCTCAAATATTTCGATTCGACATCGACAGGTGATCGTTTGACGCGATGAATATTTTAATTCAGAACTGAGTTTCATTTTTCCGCATTCAAAGCGTGGCCGTTAATGCAACGTAACTGAAAGCTCCAAGTGTCATACGTGCCGCTAGTGGACTGCGTGACATTATATGCTAATTAGTAAAGAACTGAAACCTTGCACGCTTCTATGGTGTTTATCGCATATAAATAAATTAACTTTTAGCCCAATAAATTGGCAATTGGTGATGGCTACAGCAGCATATACATCTTTTATGAAATTACTTGTTATTTTGTGCATAATGCGATGGTTCTTCTTTTCTTTTCTTTCTTGCTGCGTCAACAAGGATATTTAGCACGCGCTAAACACCAAGGCTGCAATATTCGATGGCCTCTGAGTTTGCTTACAAGTAGATACACTGCACAAAAGTCGGTAAGATAGAATGGTTCCCTACAGTTTAATGAAAGGCAAAGACTGAATGAAAATTAGAAGTAACTGTCAAGCATCGACATACTTTTACTTCCTTCACTGTAGAGTGTAAACAATGATAATAAAATCATTAACTCTATCAGGAAAGGAATAAACAGTAACTTCAAATAAGGTCATAAGGAACACTCCTCCTAATTTGTCTTTCACTGATGTTTTCGTATCAGAGTCTCTTTTGGTCAGGAACATACAAAGAAGCTCACGAATACTCGGACTTTAACTCCAGACTGACTACATTAGAAGATACAATGGCAGGGTAAGTAAGCTCAGATGTTAGTGTATTTACCGTCAGAGTCTCTTAAGCCCCACAGTACAAAGTCCTTTCCTTTTTCGTGTTACGTCCATTTTCTGTTTCTCCCCTTCCCCCGCCCCAACCTCTCCAGAAAGAAGCTTCCGTAGAGATTTCCTGGTACCCAATCATACTCAAACAACCACGCACAAGCAGAATATAATTTTTCAGTTTGGCGGTATTACACATGCGCAGTCATTATTTGCTTAATAAGCAATTTTTGTTGGTCCCTTGGCAGGGTTTTAGCCAATGAAAAAGGAGGAAGATATGTGAATAATGACTTTCTGCTACATGTACTAAATTACTATAACAGGGAGAAGAAATTATGTGTGTTGAGTAAGGTGAAATTGTTTTACTTTTGCGATAAGTAAAATAAGTAATGGTTTACATTAAAAACTTAATTGTTTAATTAGTTCTCATCTAACACCTCTGGACAGCGTCTGTAATCTAAATAGGTTATAGAGTGATTTGTTTTTTCATGGCATGACAAACTTCCATACTCAGAATTAAAGAAATGATTATGAAAATATAAATCCGTTGCATTCGTCATTAACTATTCCGTATTTAGAGAGATAGGAAAAAATATTTTCGCTCCTTCAAAACATATGACAGAAAAGTCATTGTTTAAGTCTCTTGCTGGCTTAGAATCAATAAGCATTGATTTGAAACCTTTTTGTTTTGCAAACAGATGGATGATGAATGGCTTAACTTGGTGTGGTTCAAAAAATAAATCATCTGATGGTATTAACTACGATTCCTGTCCAAATTGCAGTCACTTCAAAGCATTTTGGGGCTTAGCTTCAAGAAGAGTAAGCTTTGTTTGATTGTCCGACATTTTTCGTATGAGTGCTGTATATATGTGAGATGACGTAGATCGGCTAACTGGAAATTCCCGAATAACACATTTTAAAAGTTGGCTATTCGAGTTTGTTTATGTAGCCATTCATGGTGAGTTTGCTTTTGCGGCCGCCAATTTATCAGGCCCACATTCGCTCTTTACACCTTAACATCATGATCAGCTGGTTAATTCTCCATACTATTCTCTATACGCTTCTTATGCTACAAACAAGGAGAACTTGCGTGTTAATCGAGAATTACTAGACCTCGCGAAGTCCTTTCCTTTATTCTCATGACCTTAACGTTTATTCAGGGAGTGATACTGTTGGGAGAAATTAGATGCTCGTCACTCTCTGGGGTTAAAGGGTTAAGCTACCTCTTATTATTTTAAAAACTGAATCATTGGATAATGCAATTCAAGAGTTTTTATTGGCTTAGCCATCATGGGTTATGAGCCATTATACCATGCTCTACAGATATGGTAAGTATACGCGTAAACAAAATGAAGTTGACAAAATAAAGTTGACTATCTCTCAACTCATATCCAGCGGGCGCTCGTGTGATAATTGTTAATTAGGCCTCATGTTACAGATAAGTTCGCGTGATCTAAAGGTATCTTAAGGCCCTTTAAAAAGGGCCTTTGAGCAAGGAGCTCACCGTTTTTTTGTGCGTTTTCGCTTCAAGTATTCACTTTTAAAATAATCTCAGTCAGTCAGTACATCCAGCTACCATTGCTTTTATGCATCATGTAAATCCAAGCTGATATCCTCTTGTTATCATTCAATGTACTAGTTTGCAGAGAAAGCCAGTGGAATCTCTCATGTCTTGGTCAACGGATCGCGGTTAATAAACGGGACACCAGCTGCTTACTCAAGAACGAAGTAAACTGTTTCCTTATTAATGAAGGGTCTGACATTTCTTTCAAAAATTCCCTTTCATGCATGATATCATGAGACCAAAAAGTAAAAAAATATAGAAAATAAATATGAGGCGTCACGGTGTAGCTCTCTCGGCCTCCGTTTGTTAGGATACGTCATTTTAAGATTAATCCTCAGTTTGCGACGTAAACGTATCAGTTCCTTCCGTCCTCTCTCAAGATAAATGTTTTCTTTTTCTTTAATCGTTAAATATTTAATTTCCTTTTAAATCGTTGTACAATGGTTCAATCCTTTTTTTTTTGTTTCAGTTTCTTTGGAAGTATGGAGCTTCCAAACCTTAACAAAAGCAATGTCATTGAGCTGAAAATTTTAGTGGTCCATAACATCGGTGGTCCCGTTTTGTAAGTTGATTTTCAATTATCTACTTTCATTATCTGGTGTGCGCTTCATGACAGTTTTACCGAAACTCATTACTAAACTGGACTTTGTACAAAAAAGCTATTGTTAGGATTGTAGATAAAAGTTTTCACGGGCCTTCATCTAATGATAGATTCGCTTTTCCGCCTTTCAGTGTTATCCAAACTAACATGATGAGAAATCTCTCCCAAGTGGTTTCCCCCTGCGGTGAACCTTTCCCTTAGATTTCACTTAACCTAAGGGGTAGTGTCGTTTCAGCCCCCCTATTTAATTTCCCAGTGATAATCAAAGGTGTAACCGATTCAGTGTTATTAGGGTGTTTGGGCGGGAGATGGGACTTAGGGAACTAAGGAAAGATCTAGGAAATTCTGTCTGAGGGGGAAAATCCAAACGTTGATCCAGAAGACAAAAAGGGCTTTTTCTCTGTATTTGCTCTACTCTAATACCTAAATAAACTTAGTAACTTTCAGGACATGTAAACTTTTTATGTGTTTCAAGCTAAGAAGAATTTGTAAGAATTTCGGTGTCAGTCCCCCGAAAGCTCAGCCTTTCTACTGGATCTGCTCCTGGGTATTTTGTCTGGTTCTAGTGCAGCCTCCTCGTAGCGTTTTTAGCATAGACAAAGACATTCCAGTCATTCTATTCGTGAATCAGCTCTTTGATTTTTCTTTTTGTTTTAATATGTGAAATTGAACTGTTAGCCAGACATGATTTAACAATGAGCTTTTTACAAAAATTATTAATTAGGATAGATAATATCTTTTATCTGACAAATAACACAGGGAGGTTTGTGGCAATGGCTCGATCAAAGAGATGGAGGAGGATGCTAACAAAAGAGGCATAAAAACGACTTGCCTCGATGACCCGTCGTAAGTATATCCTCCTAAATGGAACAGAGTAAAACGGGTGTGGTTCTAAAGTGGCACGACGTAATTCTCAGTTTTTGTCTAATTTCCAGTCGAATTCTCATGAGATAGCGATACCGATTCCATGAAACCCAGCACTCATTGCGAATTTCCAGGTTCCAGTGGAGAAAAGCTTTATAAAAATTTCAAAGAGATGGCAAAACTCCTACATTTCATCATGACTAGATTAAGCGGTAAATCATTACGGTCGCTACATAACAGATGACCTGGAGTAAGTATTACTTTAAAATGGAGTGAAATGGGTGTGGTCCTCAAAGGGGGAAGGTATACCTCTCATTTTAGGCCATTGTCTTTCTAATTCCAAGTATCCTTCTTATGTGATAGCACTTCCAAGTCCAAGAAAACCGGTGCTCCTCAAAAGAAGAGCTTCATAAAATTTCAAAGCCGTAGCAAAGCTATATCTCCAGAATTTATGACCGATAACAGAGTTTGTGTAGCAAAAGACAACTGAGTTACTGCGTTTTTATCTATCTGTATAGTTGGGGCCAAGAAAGGATTCTCTCCTGTTGAGGCACAACAAGCGAATAATTAAAATAGGACTACTTCAATAGATCAAAATTGGGCTTAAAATCCGGGGTTTTTTATGGTTCTTGTAACATTGTTCTAACTCCTTTGTTTGTCGTGGTATTACCATCATAAGGAACCTTAAGCAGTCCAGATAGCAACGCCGAGGAAGACATGGGCATAAAAAAATGATTTATATTGTTAGTTAGAATTGCGCAAATAGCTAGACTTGTTTGTTGCCTCTTTCAGTGCCACATCTTAACCTCAGCACAACGTATTTGGGCAGCGTTTAGCTCCAAATGATAACTTAAATAATTTGCCGTTGGGGTTTCCCTTTCCAGACCATGCAAGCTCGTATGATTTCACTTTGTTGTTTTGCATAGGACGGTTTGCTTAAGTTCGTTATATGCTGACCATTAATGATGCATATGTAATTAATTCCCTCACATCGTGTGCCTCCTAAGGAAGATGCATTGTGAATAACTTTAGAGGAATGCGCAATTTTCATGGTTAACGTTTTCATGTTTCGTCTTTAAGGCAAATTCAACATCTGCTGTGCGCTGATTTCCCAGAATCTCGCGTGTGCCGGTTCCTTCGTAGTGCAACAAGGAGTGTAACAAAGTCCGTGAGTTGTGGGTGAGTTGACTTCATCTGTTTTCATTATTTTCAGTGAGAACATCGACAATCAAACCTTTGAAGCGGTGGTAGACGACGCCATCCCATTCCATTTATTAAGACGAGTTTCGTTCCTCTTACTTAAGGTGTTTTCTTTCATTCTCTAGTTTCCTCGTTCTTTTTCTTATCACCAAGAATAGCAGCATATGATACAAATAGCTCTAAAACAAACAAACAAACTAACAAATGATGACGCACTACCCTTGAAAACTTTTTCTCTAATAAAGGAAGAGAAGATATAGAGGTGATCTCAGGAGAAAAAAAATTTCGAGGAATTTGTGCAACATCAACGAAATAAAAGTTTAAAAGTCAGTTCCCCCCTTCCCCTCTACCCTTTTCCCCTCCCCCCTTCCATTTCTCCCT